TCTTATTCTGTCGTTTTAATTAAAATTTTTAAAAAGCTTATAAAATATAAATTTTTAAAGAATTTGACAAAAGATGACATACTTTTAATAAAGTTAGAGGAGTCAAATATCACCTCATAATGGGAAGGCTGCTTTTTGATAAAATTTTGGATTATTGATTAGAAGGTGCTCCTAAAATTTTGAACGTGCTCCTAAATTTTGCTCCTAAAAAGAAAAGTAAGCGTAGAGCCCTGTGTAGTTATACAAATGGTAATCAATACGCCATAAAAAACATGGTTAATGCACTTTTACTACAATAAAACCATGGTTAATTTTCGGAAGGGACATGGATCTTGTGTAAATGTGTGGTCACTTGTGAAATTTTGTCTACTTTTGTGTACAAAAAGGTCCATTGTCTATTGACAATTTGTGTGACCAACTTGACCCAGATGCAAAATCTGTATTCAAAAATCCTTTGCCCGCATGAAATTCCCAACTGTGTAGATTCCTGTTGAAATGTCTGGATTTTGCCAATGCAAATCAACTGAACAGCTGTACATTTCTCTGAAATTTCACATACAAAAAGGTATATTATATCATCAATAGTGTAGCGATGTGTGAAGCACAGTTCACACAGAAGTCACTTTTAAACCAAGCAGCATTCTGTTGATCAGTGCGGTGAATCTGTGTCCAACTTGTCAAATATGCATTGGTAAATCTTTTGTCCCTACACAGAATTCCAGATTGTGTTGATTCCTATTGAAATGCCTGGATTTCACCTGTGAAAATTCGTAAAACAATGGTATTTGACGGCACCTTAAATCTGGATACTACGAACCTTATGTTGAAAAATCATACTCCTTAGGGGTCGTAATGTGTTCAGAAATATTTTTATTCTGCTAAATGAACAAATGTAAATCAGCTAGTTGCAGCATAATGGAATGTAAACCACTTCTAACTTCAGCAATATGCTGAATAAACAGCAAGATGCATCGCAGCAGGCAAATGTGTCGCAATGTTTACATGGGGAAAAAACAACACAGATGGATGCAAGTGTGAACGGCCCATTAGGATGACTGCTGTGGGATTGCTGGTCGTCTCATGACATTTTGGAACAAAACATTAATTCTGTAACCACATGGCTATTTCTTCTAACACTTATCTGGCTTCTCTCTTAATAAATGCACAGATCTGAATCCCTTCGTAAATGTTGTAAATATGAACTAGACTTAATTTTTTTGTATTTATTGAAGTACCTGTGCTTTCTCCCAAAGCCGTTTTGTGTTTATTAGACCACTTTGCGCTTTTTTGTGCATGCAGCATGAGTGACAATTTTACACGTATCCAAGAGCCAATACTATGATATCTCCTCCACATTGTCCGAGCACTGTATTGAGAAATCAGTGTATATTAAAAATGCAATAGACATCTGCATTCTTCATTTATGACTGTGCTGTTCTACAAGAACATTTGATATTTAGTCTAATTTAAAGGTCATAGTTAGACACCCTCCTCTGTTCAAAGTTGGGTACTGCATGTAAGGTTGTAGAGTCGTTATATGACGACGTCATAATTATGAGTCAGATCTCCAGCTGCAGCAGAGAATTCCATGCGGTTATGGCTGCTATCATTCCCCGATTTAAGTTGATCCGAAGGCACATTCGGTATGAAAACATTTCTATATTGTGGTTCTATGCACTGTATGTTTAGTTAATTCTTTATACTTTATATGCCGTATGTTAACCTTATTGCCTTTATCGTGCAAATTGTGCGATCTATTTCTGATGATGCGATGCTAGTCATTCTCTGTATAAAAAGCTTGTTATGTCTTATGTGATCACGTGATTGATTTACATGCTTATATTTCTGTATTTTCTTGTATGTTTACAGTTTTACGTTATTTCAAGATCGCTAGTAAAGCTGGAGAAAAGATTCCTTGCTTCTGTTGTTATTGGAAGGCGTTATCTGTCTGCCAAATCAAGCAGGGCATTTGATAAGAGGGCGGAACAATGACCGTCTACATTCTTGATTCAAGGGGTACAAGTGGACGTCTACATTCTTGATTCATCACATTCTTCACTTAATAAAGCTGCAAATGAACTAACAGTGTTGGTCCCAGCTGTGTCTTAAGAAAAGTTTGGAAAAGAGATTTTAAGTAGAAACCAACTGATGGCCACAAGATGGCAGTGCTTCTCTCTTTATCGGAGAAATACCCCCCCCCTCCCCTCAGCATGACTATCAAAATTTCAGTGCTGCTGGCTATAGCCTAAAAGACTTTAGATTTATTATAATAGTCCTACATTTTTATAAATAATTATGTTTCGTATGTACACTATGAATACCACAATAATAGCAGCATAACCTACTGATAACTTCAACAGGAATGTTCTGACGTGCTTCCAACTCCCATACAGTACGTACAGAACATTTACAACAAACAAATCCATTCATGTCACCCAATCAATATTTCATGCATGTATTTCTTACCACAGAGAGCAGCACTGAAACTTTAATGGTCACTCCATTGCGTGTCCTGCTCTGTTGAAGTTGACTTTGTCTTAAAAATTCTTGAATAACTCAGTTGCGAAAAAAAAAAATCCTTTGAAACCTTGAGGCCTTATTCTATCTCCCTTCAACCAACGCACACTTCTGCATGGTGGTGTTTTATATAACCACATTGTGTAAGAATTACTTCAAATGAACCCTGAATACAACTAGCAAACTAATGGTGTTTTTTTAGGGCAAATTGCTTTCTGTGTTTATGTGAAGCAACATGCTGTTGTGTAATTTTACTGTTTGTGTATCATGTTAGCTTTGAAATGCTGTGACCAAATCGCATTGCATCTATTTCGAAGCTGTTTGCAACTCAAAGAATTAGACATTGGATATTTGCATGCTAAAATTAGACTCTTCAATCAACTGTGCCAACTTCAAAATGTTAACAAAACGTACAAATTGAGCCACATTTTCTTTTATTGCTAGAAGAAGGTGACTCCATTATGAACTGGCCCTAACATCTCTGAGTCATTTCTTCACTAATAGGAATGGACTGACTGACTGTTTCTTCAGCAGAACGGATTTGAAGAAATGTATCATTACAACACTTGCTTACCAATGGATCCTCTGCAGTGAATGGGTGCTGTCAGAAGGAGAGTCCAAACAGCTGATAAAAACATCACAATAATCCACAAGTAATCAACACAGCTTCAGAAGATCCATTGGTGAGCAAGTGATGTGAAATCTAAATTTCTCCATATCTGTTCCGATGAAGAAACTAAACTCATCTACATCTTGAATGGAGTAAACTATTCCTCCAATGGTAGCGAATGGAAACTGGCATACGAAACTGCAAGTCCTGTTCTTTAGTGTCAGTGATAAAATAAAATCTGAGCTTTATTTAATTTCATTCTCTTATATATGCTAAAAGTTCACACATTAATATGAACTTGTTCAGAAACTATAAATGTTCAAATACTTAGACTTCATTTTAAATAGTATAATTAACCTAAACCTTTTTTGTGAAATGTTGTCCAAGGTGGAGTCACATGTTACTATGCAGTGTTTACTAAGACCAATATTCTCAACTTCAAACTTACTATTTTGCTAAATTTCCTTTTTTATTCACAGTACAATATTGACAGTTTTGTGCTAATCAAGTTCATTTTAAAGTGAAACGTTCTGTAATTAAAATAAATGCTCTTCAGTCAGCTGTCAGATGTGAATGTACAGTATTTGAGTTCTGGTTACAATGTTAACACTTTAATTATATCTGATACTCATGGGAATATACCACCTTTTTGTAAAGTTCAGTTTTCTAAATGAGATCCTAAATGAAACTGCCATAATTATTAAATGGATAATCTGAGCTAGTTTTGTACATACTGTCACGAATCCGGTCCATGAACTTCCGTCTGCTTGCCACCAGAGGTCAACCTTCCACTACTAAGGACTCTTGCACCACACCACTGTTGCACTTCACCCGGACTACAGTTCCCATCATCCATTGGACTGATTACACACACACAGTTGATTGCACACAGCACTGATTGCACACAGCTGTCATCAATCACACCTTCCCTATATATACACTCACTCTGATCCCCGTCAAGCTGCCGAGTATTGT